GGGCCGGGGGTGGGGTGGGGTGGGGCCGGGCAGGGCCGGCGGCACCACGGACAACGTCAGCCGGGAGCGGAGATGGGCCTGTGATTAACGTGAACCCGGTGAAATACACGTACTTGGGTCATGTGTCATTAATAAAACACCGTGTCCGACTGCTACAGGAATAGAGACACACCGTGTTCCAGTACGTATTTTCACAAAATGGGCAAGTTCCCGAAACACTAGCCCCTTTCTGCTGTGGATGCAGATGTGGTGGATGCTTGGGTAGATTTCCAGCCACAACCCTGGCACTGGTCCGATTCAAAGTTCTTTCCAGTTCTGATCAAATGAGGTATGTAAAATTATTAGGGACCACAAGTAGTACTACACTGTTACAAAAAATACGGTATTACAGCAGTAATAAAAATACTGATACAAAAAATTGCCAATACGGGAAATGAAATACAGGGCAGCTAGCTCATTGCGTTTCAAATTAATAACTACATAAAAATTAATAAATAAAGCACCACATCAATGGTAAAATGAAACTGAGAAGAAAGTGTTTCACAGCTGAAATCTTCACGTTTTTAGAGAGGAGCTGAGAATGCAGCAAGCACAATGCACATGCTCTAGAGTTAAAAGCTGACAAACATTACCAGGCAGCTATTAGTTGCTTCCCAAATGGTATCTTGCAGAGCCCTTGGTGAAGGCTGCGTAGCTGGCCTGCAATACTGGATTGCCTTTTTAGCTTTACTGTCCACTGTCACTCAGAGGCAACTCTGAGGTTGGGCACAGTATGTGGTCCAGGAGTTTAGAAGTTAAAAATAACTGAAATAGCTGTTGGGTTTGACAGTTTTCTAATAAATATTGCTTTCCCTCTTTTCAGTGAACAGTTTTTCCATCAGGTTTATACATTACCAAATTTTAATGGTATATTTACCACCCTTATAATTATCCATAATGATCATACACACTTCAAATCCATTTCTAGCTCAAAAAAAAAAAAAAAAGGGCACCAGAAATGTAAGAAGTATTAGCATGAAATGTACATACATCTCTTGATCAGTTTTGTTAATTTTAGTTTAAAACATTGGGTTTAATGGATATGAAATGTTTACAACGCTCAGAATACCCTCTGCTGTAGCTTAACAAAAATCATATGGGTCCACAGGAGATAAAAGATGTCATCTTTTCCAATACCATTTGATGAATTCATTTTTATGGGAAATTGTCTCCTATTGTGGTTTATTTTATAATGCTAAGTGAGGCAAGAAGTCAAGAAAGTAGCACAGAGGGCTTTTTTTCCCCCAATTCTTTAAATTACTACTTTTGAAAAACTAGGAACTATTTAGCTGACCAGCTTCATCTACTGCTGAAAAGGTAAGCAGAAACCATCCAGTATACTCTGTGGATTGACTAAGCTACAAAACTGCATTGTGCCACAAAAAGAATGTATATTCTGGTAGCAAAACAGGAAATATTAGCTTATTTTAAAATTAGCATACAATTTTCAAAGATGTAGCATAACTATAATCAGCACCAACTTTCTTCCTAACAGGAGCGTCTTTACATGAATCTGGGGATATCAACAGATGAAAAGACATCACAGACAACAAAATGTCAGTTATGAGCAACAGAAAATTACTCCACTGCTAATATATATACACAATATCTGGTGCAAGGCCTATTGATACCAAAGTTGAGAATTTAATGTCTGATGATTCTGTGCCCAATCCACATAAGGGAAAGCACATATACAATTACTTGTGTCAAGAGAGAAACATTAGAAGCTATAATAATATTTATTTTAAAAAGTGATATCAAATACAACCATATATATTTGTGCCTACTTGAAGAGCATTTTCAAAATATCAAACAGCACTGCCATTTTCCAGTGAAAACAATGGCAAAGCATTTCAGCTTTCCTTTTTTTAATCTTTTCAGTATTATATGCTTTATATACACAAAATAGAGACAATTGTATAGGAATCCAGAGCCAAAGACATGATACTGAAAGCAGTCTCAAGACAAAAAAAATCTATTACTGAAAATTATTTCTAAAATACACAACTATTAGACAAAAGATGAAAAAAATTACTCCCTTACAAAATCCTGACACTACAGTGTTTTGTACACATGGGGTTTCATGTAGCAAAAAATAAAATTTTATCAATGCTTGCATGCTTTAAAGACAATATCAAGGTTTTTCTCCTTTGTTTGCAGAGTGGCATTTAAATATTACATCCCTTTCTGTTCAAACCCTTTTATAAATTTCCCCTCCTGAATTCACACAGTGGCTATACTGGGGGAGTGGTGTGAGTGTTAAAAAAAAAAGTTATCTAAGTGTAGTAACAATTATTTGCTTTTCTTAACAAAGAAAATAAAAACATTTTGATTTGGTAAAAGCAGTTGAAAAGTCACATGTACTTTAACATTCTAAAGAACTGTAATTGGGGAAGTAGATGACTACGGCAGGTTAAATACTAAAGCATTCCCTCCATGTCTGAAATGCAAATAAGGCAAAATGTCTGTCTGCAGGTTAAAAAAGTTTATTGCAAAACAGCCCATGCTTTTAAGATGCAAACCTGGATACAACACAAAGAAGCTACTAATTCGAAAGTATTGAATATTTGGGCCTGACCAGTTCGAATGTATTAAGTATTGTTCTTACTTGAACAACCGATTATGTGTATGGGGGGAATGCGTAGATATGTTTACCCATTAGACTTTTCAGGGGGTTTTTTTGTTTGTTTGTTTGTTTAAAAAGATTTGTGAGTAACTACGAAGAGTTCCCAGGAATTAAGTTCGTTTGATGCAAGACAGTAATGGCTTACCAAGCGAGCAACATAATTTTATATCTAAGCCCTTAAAAAAAGTTTCCACTTCAGTTTTTCTTTTCCCTGGATTCTTTTTTTGATTCCTTTAAAAGTATGTGCTGATAACATGAATTGTACAATAATACTTCTTTGTAAGTCTGAGTTCTAGAGTTCTCCAATCCCATTCCCCATAATATTTCTCAGTAAAAAGGCCACCATTTGTATGTTTTCATCATTATTTGAAACAATAACTAAATTCTAGAAAATTTCAGACATTTTAGAGCTGTAACATGTTCTTGTTCATTTTTAAAAGCCTATTCGTCACTTTTGTAATAAAACAAAGCAGCTTGCAAATGACAGTATGTGTCTGAGATACAGAAACAGAATTGCTTACTAGACATGTGCTGAAGGCATTTTAAACTCCCCACCATTTTATAGATTTATAATAGAAGCAATAGTCCAACATTAAAACACATCAGAGATTTAACTTTGTATTGGTTATTTTTAAGTAGTCTGCAAAGTAATTAAGTATGAAAAACAGTAAGAGTACCCTAGCTGAAAATTACATTTAAACTTGCTGAAGTTGTTTGAAGGGCACAAGGAGCCCAAACATTGGAGAGTAGGCCAGTATTGTATCAGATTAGTTTCAAGCCCAGAAAAATGTCAGCATTTAAATAGCTCACATTTATACCTGCTGTGCCTAACAAGAACTGCATTCAAGCATGACTGCATTGCAACACTTTTTCCTCCTACCCTCCTTACAAGACCATGAAAGCAGTTTACAGAATTATACTTAGAGAACTCATTTTGGAAGATATTTAATCTATCAGTCATTCCCCCCGCTCCTTTGACTTCTATAGGGAGAAAAACACAAGTTATGTCACATGGACTGTTCACTGTAAGGAAGACAGTAAACACCTGTTGGATGAATGAAATCTGAAATTCCCTCAAGTATCATACTGCAATAAAAAAAAAAAAATTAAAAATCAATTTCTGCTCCTTTACAGTGGACTTCGGCCTAAAGCTACAACATGGGAAAAAAACCTTTCAACTTGACAGAATAGGTAACACTAGGAATAGGCTCTAAATTAGTAAACACTTTATGAGCATAGTTCAGCCACATTGAGAACTGTTTATCACTGAAAGAATGCACACCAAAAAATGAGATCAGCTTTTTATTGACAGCTTCTTGGCAGGTCCACACATTTTGAACTTTAGGTCTGGGTTATAAAATATGTACTGTCGTCAATTAGTCTTTTCCTTTGGTGCAATTAACATACGTAGCTTAAATTGCTACCTCTTAACTGCTTGACTAGGCAGATACACCTTCTTCATTAAACTTGACATTCTTCTGAAATTCAAACTGGTATTTGTAGAGTGACAATGTTTCTACACAGAATGGAATATGGTTAGCCCTGTAATGATTGACACAGTTGTGCTTTTCAGGCACTGTTACTTTATATTCCTTACATAATAAAACACTTGGGTGATGAAGTAACTTACAAAGTGACATGAAAGTTCAAATGCAAACCTCCATGCTTTAGTGATTATAAAAACATGTAATTGTCACAGGTTACAGTTAATGTAATTCAAGGGGCTTAGATTTTTTTTTTTCTTTAATATAGGGCTGCTACACTATATAGCTATAGAAAATAATACATTCTTATTATATTCTTATAATAGAGGATAAAATGTCCAAGTTCCAAGTACTGGTATCAAATTGCCAGCCTATAGCTATTTATAAAATTCAGAGTCTTATTTCAGAATCAGTTTATGGCACAACAAAAGAAGGGAAATTAAAGCTGTGGATAACTTATAGATGAGCAAAGAAATAATTCAGTGCTTTAGAGATTCCTTTCCTGTCTTCAGTTTCATATAAATTTTAAACTGAAAGCAGAAGTTTACATCCTGAAAAATATAGTATTTCAAAATGGCATACGCACACACAGACTTTTAAAGCCATTGTTTAGCTGTATTAATTTGAGACATTACAGATATTATAATTAATATGCGTGACAGAATTATTTAAAAAAGACAAAATTTAAAATCAGGTTTTAAAAAGTAGTGCTGTCTCATGTCAAAATCCACATTGTCTTACACATACCAGTAGTTCTGGTGGAAATTCAGCACACAGGTAAGGGAAACAGAATTTAGCCCAATTATGTATAATATAATAATATCCTAAGCTATCAAGAAACCATTGCTGTAAACAAATCTTTACTGAGAGGTAAGAGCCCTTTCGTGTACAGTACTACTTGATGCTGAATGTGTATTTCCATCTAGCTACCATTCATTTCACACTAATTTTAATTAAATGTTACTATTGTGCAATGATATAACTTTAGAATATTTTGATAAAGAAATTTGGGGTTCTCTTCAAAAGATCCTTAGAATGCCTGTGCTAACTGTTAATGCATTAAGTGGACTACAGCTTACATACTCTATCTACAACATATTTCCATATAATTTATATGTAAACAGAATTTGTATTTCAAGCACCATTTAGGAAAATGAAACATCTCTCAATTGTTGCACTGAAGCTGAAAGTCAGGTTTGGTCACCCTGTTACACATTCATCCTGGATACCAAAGCAAATGTCTTACAACCAATAGCATAAGCTATCTCACATACTTTGCTCCCCAATTTTTCTCAGGATCAGAAACAGCATGATAAAAAATCGTAAGGTGCGTGAATAAAAGGCCATTCCTGGAAAAGCTGCAACATTCTGACAGACACTCATAAAAAGCATTTCAGAAAGAACATCCACACAAACATAAATATTCATTCTTAAAAGAGCTACTTGCACAGGGGTCATTTCAGACTGCAGGAATGCACCTTATGGGTGTGGCACTGACTTTATGGCACCTAAATCCCCTCCTCCTTTCTCCTAGACTCAGTTACAGCTCTTTCATACTGGAAGGCCAGAATGAAGGGTTGAGCTTGAAGAGGAAAAAAGACTCCAGAAGAGGTAGAAAAGAAAACCTCTTTAACCCAACTAATTCTACACTACTTTTATAGTAGATAGTGGCATAACTAGAAAGACCATAAGAAAGCAAAAACAAATTAAAAAAACAAACCAAAGAAGGCAAGTTACCTGCCAAATGACAATAAGGCAACGCAAAAATCCTACTTTAAACATGGATCTGAAAATTTTAGTTGCGACTGAAGAAAATAAAACATACAGTTGGAACTGGAAGTAAAATCAGAAAGTATTAGAAGGTCAGAAGTCACTGAAAGATACAGAAGTAACATCATAATCAACAATACCCTGAAGATTTTCTCTTGAGTTGCAAAGTAAGAAATTTATGGATTCATGTTTCTCCTGCAGAATGGGTCATTTCAAAAGTGGACAGCAGGATTGAAAAGTTGACATTAAGTCATTCAGAATAAACAATCACAAAATATATTATCTAAGATAAACAGAATTTAATTCTTTTTCCCATTTGAAGTGATTTCTTACAAAAACTTAGTCATTTGTGAGCACAACTTATTACTTGTATCTATTTTTCCATTAGTACTGAAGGAAATCAGTTGATGCTGGGTTTTGGCACGTTTTGTATATTCTATATTCTTCAAAACAACGTAAACTTGCTTTTAAAATGCAAGTTACAGCTGCTACGCGTGTCTAACTTTGTTCATGTGAATAGTTTAAGCAATTTTAATAAAGCTACTCTGTGAACAGATGTTCTGTAGTAGGAGTGCTACAGTTTTCTAAATTAGTGCAATCTTTTCTGTTTTTGCAGATTCCCTCTAAACTGACCTCCAGACCACCTTTCATTCCTGCTTCCAGAACTCTGAAATGAACCCTGCTTGTGCAACATCCACACAGTAAAATTATAATGGAGACTTAGTGTTTTGCCAATGAGAGGGGGGAAAAAAAAAAGTTACATCATTTCTCCTCTTCTGTATTCAAGTGGTTTCTAACAGATTCCAGAGACATATTCATGGCTGCTTGAAGCATGTCTTCTTCACTCATATCACCTCCTAAAGAAAATAAATGCATGTAAATTATAATAAGTGCACAGAGCTAGTTCTCAACTGTAGTTAAATGCTTTCGTTGTTCCTTTTGTCCACATCCACCTGTTTCCACCCCACCCCCAAAATTGTTTTTGTTTTTTTTTAAAGTCATTAAACATTAGGCACTTAGTTTTCCATCCACAAGTCAGTTTGTAACAAGTAATACACATTAATTTTGGATCACCAATACCTAATACTGGTGAGGCCTACATACTTATGTTCTGCTGAAAACGGGTTCCAGTTATTTTGTCAGATATTACTCAAGTTTACTACATTGTCATGCAACTTTAAAAGTCATTTAGAAAACAAATTGTTGGCACAAATCCCATCAAAGATTACAATTTGTAATGCTAAAGCCAAAAACAATAACAAAAAGCAAAGCCAGAACTCAAATAGTCTAATAGTAACGCTCTTCACTTTGCAACAGCTTATTGACATTCAAAGCAGAACAGGCTTTTCAAGAAAGTGAACATTTCCTTCACTGCCAAAACGAGTAATGGCTGTGACACAGTTCGAATAGCTGCTGGAGCAAGGAAGTAGGCAGACAAGGGAAGTTAAGAAACAGAGCACAATACAAAGGTGAAAAAGACATAAATATTTCAGTGTTGGAAATAAGTTTAAGAAACAATACCTGGGTCAGCTTCTGGAGTGCTTGAGCTTAGAGTTGGCTTATCATGTAGGTTCAGGGTCCGATCTTGCTGCTGTAGCTGTTGTTGCTGCCTGAAAGTGTTATAAATTTATAAAAGAGTAAGATTAACATCAATATGAGACCTGTATCAAGTCTATCTCATTGTAAGGAAGGCCAAGAGTCAGCTGTTTGGTACAATAACACCCCTGCACCTAAATTGTCTTCAATTATTTCACCTTCCTAACCTTCAGACACCTATCCTCCCAACATTACACTCCAAGCCACATCACTATTTTCCCAGAATTCGGATGGTCTGTGTTCTTATCCTCTCATGCAAAGTCTAACTCCTCCCATCCATAGCATTTTTCCCTGGTCTTTATTTCCTCCATCACTAGGAGACAGAGATAAGGAAAAGCTACAACAATACCCCAACTATGTGTTAAGAAGGTACTCCAAAACAGCAACATAAAATATCATCTAGAACGCTTTCATGTGATGCACATCAGAGGCTTCATTACCAGAAGCAAAGTCTTAGAGAAAGAATACTTTTCTTCAGGAAGGTAATTACAGAAATTTACAGGATTTCATTTAAAATACTTCTATAACATGTATGTTTTCCTTCTTCACAAGACTGATGTTGCATTACTAACAGATCCCCTCTTATTTACAGGTTTCTATTCTTCGTAGGAACCACCTGGGAATAGCAAAATTCGGGTACTGTTAAGAAAACATGTTAAGAGAAAAAAGTTAAGCTAGACCTCAGTCAGAAACCCATCCACACCCCAAAAGCACTGAAAAATACAACATGTACTTCCACGTGCAGTTTTCTATTAACTACTTTACTTTTCAAAATATGCTTGTCTTCTCCTTCGCAGTTCTTCTGAAGAAAGGGAGTCTGTCTGACTGGTGTGAGGCAACTGAGGAACACTCTGTGGTAATGAGTCCAACAACTCACTTCGACGACTACCTAAAACCAGAACATGCCATATCCTACTAATTACAGTAAAATGAAGTTAGTAAATGAAAGATAGCTTAAGGAAATGTCCTCAAACTTCAGAGAAAGAGACTAACTTGTTGGAGAAATAAGCACCTAGGCTAACTTCACTTGATACTATCTCTCCTCCTCACCTTAGGACTGTTGCCCTTCCCTCCTGCCACCCTTTGCCAATTTGTTCTTGCTTCCTAATGATCAACGTGAGCATGAAAGTTACAGCTTTTCAAAAAGCAGAAAGGAGATAGCTACAGGAAATTCTGGATTGTCCTTCCATGCCTCAAAGCCAGTCTTTTCAGAGAGCTTGACACATGCTGGATAAAGTGGCTGACTGAAACTGGTTTCAGTAGCTGCCTAAAGCATAAGCAACATGAACACTGTAAGAGAAATTTAGATGAGTACTGCACCTTGCATGCTGAGTTGAATGGCTCTGCGAAGATCAGCTTCTTCATCTTCCATATCAATTTCCTGCCTACTTAGAGCCAGGGCTCTCTGAAAATTCTCTTCATCTTCATCTAACATGCCTGTTCCATCAAAAGGATGGTTGACTTCTATTGCTTGGTCCACATCGCTTCTGGGAAGCCTGTGAAATTGATATATTTATGGCAGAATTCAGACAGAAATTACATTAACTTTTACTGTGAGATTTAAAGTAAGTATTTTCTGCTGATTTAACTCTACTTTTTTCCTGACTTTGGAAAGAAACATTTCTATTGTGAAAATCTGCTATATAAACAAATATTTTCATTTCTACATGAAAAAACACAAAAGGCCTACAAAAATGAAAATACTGCAACTGTAAACCCATGCACTGCACGTATTGACAAGAATCTGTTCTGTAGGAAAAACTTCAAAAATAAGAAGCCTACAAAAAGCAGTAATACATGTTATTCAAACCTATTGCTATTTAAACAGTTACACCAGAAGAACATAGTGCATGTGGTCTCCTTCTTAGGAAGCTTTGATGACCACACTAGAGCAACAGATTCTCTGTAAACTATACATGCTTCCCATGTTACTGCCAAGTAGTTTGTTTTTATTCGATCAATTTACAACACAGTTTACCTTCACAAAGTGGAAGAAACAATAATTAATTCCTCTGAAAAGCCTTAAGCCTTTTTATCAATATGCAATTTATTCACTATGAAAATGTGATAAAATTATTGCAGTAGTAGTACTTCATACGCTTTCAAGGATGTTTTATATTAGCAGTATGCATCACAACAGAGCACCACAATATTTACAGTGAAATTATTCCAAAAGGAAATGCTGTATGATTTATATGATGTACAATTCAGATATGGGTTTCTCGTTCTTTTCTACTTACGACAGAATGCACAAGCCAGTCTGAACTATAGATTGATCACTATTAACCACAGTTTGGTAAGATTTGCTAACCCGTTTTACTATAATTGGAAAACTCTTGTAATCATGAAGTTAAAAATCTGCACTATACAACACTTACACACATGGAAAGATTGAATCCTTATTAAGGTAGTTTTTGCCCACTTAAAAATACACCATCTGTATTCTACCAACTTGCTTTTACTGTGTGCAACAATAGTAAGCATATTGCACTAAAGGTACTTCTAATTACTTCTTAAGAGGGTTGTCTCCACATAGGCATTAATCATGGAAACCAATCATATGGAACACTGTTAAAATGAAATCTATTTACCTTACCTCTGATCTCTTGACTGTGCTGTCTCTTCTCCAATTAGTTTTGGTCGCTGCATCTGCTGTACCCGAATCATCTGCAATAGCTGATCAGCCTCGCAGTCTGGCAGGTCACCTTTTACTACAAATATGGAATAACCTGAGAAAAATAAATTGTAAGTCTACAGTGTTAAGCTGCATGCATAAACACTCTAAAATGCACGCTATATGGAACACAATGATGTGCAATTTATTACAGTGTAAGGCTCTACCTTTCATTATAAGGACTTGGGTTATTTCACTATTTCAATCACAAAACTAAGGGTAGTTAAGTGAATACATAAAGATCTAATAAATAATGATTATTACCTACTTTTAATTAATGAGATTTAACATCTGCAAGTTACTATTACCTTCCTGTTGTAATTGAGCCAAGAAAAGTGCAAGATATGTATCTGATATTAGTTCTGGACCCATCAAGAGAGAGTTCAAGTTAAACCACTGTAATTAAGAAAAAAAAGGGTTGAGAGAACAAATTAGCATAAAGATTACTTGGTAATCCATTTCTGTACATTGTGGTCATTTTCTATGATGGAATATCCGAATAAATCTAGTAAATAAATTATCAAATTAAAAGTCTTTTGAAGCACAATACCTATACTGCTAAAGGTTACCCTTCAAATACTCTTCAGCTAACAGGAGATCCGAAGTGGGGAAATTACTGCATGCTCTCTCCCATTACTGAACACTGGTACCAGACGAACAGATTAAAACAGATAAATCAAAATATAAGGGTAGAAGAATTATTTCAGACATAATTCCAAAATTCTACTTAATCCTAGTTTTAAATCTGTTCAGAGACTAATGAAGGACAAACCCCTTCATAAGTTAACGCTGTATCTTAAGAATTTAATAGATACAGGAAACAGACATTGAATTCTTTCCATGAAATACTTCCATTAAATATTCTGCCTTTAATAGCTGGTGATGCTGAAAAGTATTTTTTACTTCTGAGATAATTTTTAAATTTAAAAATTAAGAAAAATGAACTCAAATTTAATATGTTGATAGTACAGCATAATATTACAATAGGGGACACTTGAGATAAATATACACAGATCATTTCTGATCTCCCTGAAGAGGACTAGTAATTTATAATATTTCTTCTATAGAGAAAATATATTCAACGTGGACAACAAAATATTCTACCTTTAAAACACCATATATATTGCAATCAATCTGAAGAACCTTTTTTATACCATACTTGTTCAATATTATCCAATTTTAACCAGGAAGCACCATTTCAGATAGCAGAAGGAGAATTCTACCTCCATTCTCACAAAAATGCATTTATCTACCCAAACTTCCATATATGCAGTCACACAATTGCAGTCAGGCCCATACTGTAATTCACCTGGAATACAGGAAAGTGGCTATCTACCATTCTGTCATTCAGTCACGCAATTTGTCAAAAACACCCTTTGCCATTAGGAAAGGGTAAGAAGACCAACAGTGTAGGAGTGGGGAATAAAAAGTTATGTAAACAAATACAATGGACAGATTACAGACAAACTTTCTAAAGGGAATATGGAGGAGGAAGGTTGGTAAACTAATTTTGCTTTAACTGTAACAGAAGAGAAGCAGGTCAAATCTAAGTCAACCTATTTTGTCTGTCTTTTCTCATTACTCTCCAGGTAACAGACACCTAGTATTGTCTTCAAGTGGTTACAAACCACATGTACAAGCAAAAGACATCCCTCCTCCAACTTAAAAACATTTTGGAGATGGTTGCTATCTCACCCTACATGGCTGCATATATAAGGAACATTTCCATACTTTTAAGAGACCATTCAGCCTTTTTGATATCAAATATACAAAAACTGCTTGTAAACATTAGCCATACTTTTAAACTAAAGCAGAACAGCAGAGTTTAATTTGTTAACTCACAGGTGAAATGTTTAATTTCAGGGGTTTTGTTGTGTTTTTTTTTAGTCTAGATGACAACATAGGTAGACACCACTTGCAAAATGAACCAAATGGGTAAAGAGACTCCTGTCTACTATTGTAGAATCTAAAAGCTTATTTCATGAACATTTTCTATGACACAAAACCCAACATGAAACCAGCTTATATTGTATAAAAGCTTATGCAGTATGATCCAGAACAATGATTGGCTACTGAAATAAAACACTGCATTGGTGTTACAAGGGACATGGATGTGACTTGCGTTATTATGTATGTACCATATACTTGTATGGCCATCCCTTACCTTTAATATTTCCTGCTTATAATACAACTGTTTCAGAAAGTTTTCTAAAGTAGTGCAAAGTTGTGATTCTACTTTCCCCAACCTTATGTTAAATACTTGCAATCATGAATATTATTACATTTGAAATTTGAACTTTTTCTTACACCTACTGTCCATTTAAACAAGCAAAATTATTTTTACAATGTCAATAACTTAGTGCATTAAAATAAGTTTGCATTCCATAGGGATCCTAATCCTTGTCTAGGACTACCCCCGTCCAATTTTTCTGCTATTTTTCATGCAGAAAAGAAAGAAAAGACCTTAAGACATCACACAGACTCTACCAGAGCTGCAGCTTCCTAGAGGATAGGCTCACTTTGATGGGATTCATCCTAGGGTCTTTCCCCAGGCTAACATTCACAAAAAGCTGCCTGGCATTTTTGTGATATAACAAACATTTACTTTTTTTTTTTTTTTTAAAATATGGGATACTATTAAAGCAAACTGCAGCAAAAGCTTGCAAAAGGCCAACACATGGTTTACTCGCAACCACTTTTCCACCCCCATTCTGAAGTCAATTTTTAAATAAAAAAAGACAATGTCACCTGTTTTCCTAACTTTCGAACTGTAAACCAGTGTTCCTTATAATTACAAATAAATGATTTTTCATTTCTGTAAAAAGAAAAACAAAAGGTATAGATAAAATTAAATACTCTAATATTGGAGTGCATATTAATGTTTAAGTTCTTTGCTACCACTAATTTAAACTTATATATTAAAATTTCAGTAATACAACTGTTGATGTTACAGCATACTCATAGTGCTTTAATAACATTTAGGAAGTTGTCAACATTACTGAAATCTCCATATACCTGTGATGCCACAGATACTGAGATATCATGAAGGCACAGAGGACAGATGCTCACACACACCCCCAAAAGGAAAAAATTAAAGACAGAGGGGATAATAAAAACATCAGAATGCAACAGAGCTTGAAACAGTAATTTTAAAGAAAGATTTAAATCATAGATTAAGAGTATTATTTTTCTGTAAAATGAAAGCAGGGTGCTAAGAAAAAGTTGTCTTACATAGGGTCGATCCCAAGCCTCTGATACTCTGGGCTGTTGAAGAGGATTAGTTCTAAACCCCAAACTTTCAAAGCATTGCTTATAACCTGTCAAAAAAATAGCGCTTTTCATGAGTCAAACCAGTCAAATCTAAATTTAAGTAATGCAACCATCTTAGCTGCTATAAACAATTACACTGTTTTAATAAACCTTAGATTTCAAAACATTGCTAGCAAACCTAGCAATTACATTATGCAAAACGCAACTGTCATGAATCTACATGCAAACATAACACACATTACTGTATCTAGGGGGAAGTAACAAAACTAGGATTTAACCAAGATGTGTTAATAGTCTTACTCCCCCAGACAAAGCTGTAACTTCACCTCCCACAGACACTTCACAAGTTGTCATCTCTGCTCTCAAAGTACCACTCTGCCCTCCCTCCCCCCCCAATACAATGTCATCCTTCCCCACAGGAACTATTGGAAATTTTGCACCACTGGATTGTCACCGGATCAGTCAGGTACATTAGCACAAACTTTTACAATAACTGTTTAAAGCTATCTTAAATAATGCTGTAGGAAATTTTAAATTAACAATTCATCTTCCTTTCAGTGAGCCAACTATGTAGCAAGTCAGCAAAGCAATGACAGGAGAAAAAAAGTAGAATATGAGGCAGCATTATTTTTCAGCTTCAATACTGAAGCAGCACAATCAAGAATACAAGAAATGCCAAACTGCTAATGGTTTTTCACCAAATAGAAAAACAGCCCTGTCCTGCCATAAAGAAGAGAAGCTCTCAAGGGATTCTGGAAGATTGACAAGCACCTCTGAAAGCTCAGGAGACAGCCAAAGGTACAAAGCATTGCTTACAGCTCTAGTGCTAGACACAAGCCCCAATTCAGTGTTATATACCTTTTTTTGTTGTTGTTCTGGTTTAAGTATTTATTATTAATTACTTTTCTGTTATGGTCCTTAAAAAAAAAAAAAGAAAAGAAAAAAACCAGCTCTAAAGTGTCTGAGGTGTGTTGTAAAAACTGGAATGCAGATATTGCAGCTTTTTCCATTCTACAGATCACCCTGTAACCATTGCCAAGGGCTTTACAGTCTATAATTAGAGAAAACAATCTCAAATCTGCTTTTTCACCTGTAGTCTATGGGAGCCAAGGTCTACACCTGAAATGCCCATAAGAAGAAACTTAGAAATCAAACTTATTGCCAGCAGGTGTCATTTCACATTTCAAGAGTCAATGCTTCTACTATGTGTTTAAGGGCCCATGAACTGAAGAACTGCAAGTCACTGCTCTTAGCGGAAAACACTCTGAAGATTTAGAAGTCCGGCACTTAATCCCATTTAGCCTATAAACTGGAAACTAGATGAAAAGGCTTGACGCCATTTAAATTATATGAGAGAACCTATGTCGCATAAATAAAAAATTCTGGCAGTATAAAGCCATGCTTACTTGAATTGAGAAGAATCCACTGTCATCCATATTTACAGAAGGCTGCTGCTCAGTGTGAGGTTGGGAGGGAGAAAATGGGAAAATGGTGTAAGCATAAAAAAGGTCAGAAATAATTCAGTTTTGAAAATAAATATAACTGCACATACTTCAAGCAACAACTCAATATGTCCTAGTCTGTAAGGCTGATTACAATGCCCAAATAAGCTTATTAATTAAAACCTCAAACCTTTAAATTAGAAATGCCCAGCACTTAAAGAACAGACAGGCATGGGAACTCCTGTTCCTATCTCTGCCACTGGCTTACAAAAACAATAGGCAAATCGCTGATCCTCCTTCTTGCCACGCCTGACCTTCCTACCTGTAAAATGAAGATAACATAGCTTTTTCTAGAGTCATTGTAAAGCTGTACTAGTAACATTTGAAAATGCCTAATTTAAGATGCGTGAATGACAAGATGTATAAATTTAAGAAGTTTTAGCACTAGAAAATTAACCTTCTCTATCTATGCAAGAATATGTGCTACACAATATCAGATTTCAGGCAAATATCAAGCCCCAAATTAAGATGATTTTACCTGTAAAAATGTTCTATATTCTTCACTAGACACTCCTCCCTCTGCCATTCTCATTCTTTCTTCCTCATCCAACTGCTGTGCAATAGAGGATAGCTCAACAGGACTGAAATATTCCCCTTGTAGCAAATTATTCAGACAGTGCTGAGCACACAATGAGCCTTCTTGCTAACATTGGAAGAGAAAAAAATACCAAAGACAACAAAAAAACACGTTAATGTTTTACTCTGTAAAATGACTCAACATTCCGTCCTCGCAAACTTCCTGCCCTCCCCACTCACCCAGAATGCCATGTATTCTTCAGATGTATTAAACTGCAAGCTACAGAATACAACCCTCCCATCAATTTGATGGGAAAAAAACCAACACACATACTACTTTATTTTCTCAGAGGAATTAAATTTCATGTAACAATGTTATTTTTGAAAAGACTGTAAAAATTGCCAATGGCCTGACCAAATCCCACAAGGACTCAGCAACCATCAAGACAATGGATTCTGTCCTCTTCCAAATCTCTACCACATAAAAATGAAACGGTTTAGATATCTACTTCCCAGTAACAAATGTTTTCTGCAACAGATGCTCTCGTTCTTTTTTAAATTTCTTCCCTGCCAGATATGACTATTGGCAATCTGCTCTCCACATGTGGCTAAAGAAAAGCAGACTATTAGGACTTTGGAGAGATTTAAAAGTATACATCTACAGAATTTATTTCCTTCATTTCAGGTTACTCACCCAGTTCGGGTTATAACCAATTTGTTTATTGCCGAGAAAGTAATTAGGAGCTGGACGAGCGACAAAGCTCATTTTCCACATGAAATTTATAACTAGATAAAAGAAGCTAATAGTACTGGTTCTAAAATCTTGGTGACAATGATGAGGTGACAAGAAAAAAATTAAATTCAGCATATTAAACAACAAAAATATTTTTTTTGTTGATAAACCATTTAAATGGAAAACACTTCAGATACTTTGTTACATATCCAGCACATAGGAGATAACAGAACTGTAATATAACATTTTTAGACTGTCAACCTGAATTAAAAATGAGTAAATTAGAAGTGTCAGTCATGATTTTGTATTCATTCAGATCAGATATTTGTTAATTTGTGCTACATATCACGCTCCATCATTTTCATAAGTGCAGATAAATACTGCCTTCTTAAAAAAACAAAACCAAACCAAATCACAGTTGCCCATGAAAAGAAACCAACCTTTTATTACAAATTAAAAAACAAGTGCAAGATAAGATTAACATCAGTTTCAAAATCCTGCTTTTCTCTTTTGTTTTAAACAGTCCTCATTTTTATTTACAACAAGAACTCTAATGTGCATGCACTCTATTAAAAACAAAACTAAAACCCCTCAACAAAAATAAAAAACACCCCTCACTCACACCAAACCCACAGAAACCAAGAATACAAGAGCATGCCTTGGAAGAATATTCTTTAAACTTCCATGGAAGCCTCATACAAATCATATGCACAAGTCTGCCATGATCTCCCTTACAGCAGGAACCTAAAAAATTCCCTTTACCCCAGATTACAGAATCTTCCTAGGGCTTCATCACTCAATTGAGCAATGAGTTATTAAAGCTAGACTGGCTTTACAGCTAGGGTTCAACAGAATCCAGAAACCTCCTCCAGCTCATGTCCTTCCCACAACAAGAAACTCAAGACTAAACACCAGCTCCTGTCCCTTTGGGACCACATGCCTGCTGCTGGTCATATGATAAAGCTGTAACAGAAGAACCTGCTTAAGAATCACAGGTTTCTCCACCAGAATTATATGAAACTGAATTAGAAACAGAGATGTATTAAAATACCTTTGAAAATGAGTTGTATTACAGGCTTATATCTTAGTTTCACTAAAAGGACCTTTCTGTATTTGTACAGTTTTACCTTAAAGTAATAAACTTTAATTTTCATATGGAAAATTTGTATGTACTAAGTGCAAAGTACAGAAGAGAAAACTGATCTTACAGGTTTTAACTGACATTAACTTCAATCTTTTTTTTGCAGAGAATACTGCATCTTTCCATAATCTGAAATCCCCTCACTGAAACCTATCATGATATAAACTAATGCCCTGCTTTCAGTGTTTTCAAGCACTGGTACCTTATCAAAGAATGGACCAACTTCTAAGATAGGGGCTCCTTAAGCCCCACCCCTATGTCCTACTTTCTGCAATTGTCATTCCCCTGTTAAAAATGCCACATTGCTTAGATCTTTTGTCTTGTTAAGTTTCCTTTATAAACACTATGTTTTTCATGCCTTTTTATTGGAACATCTGAGGTGCGCAGATTCAAGCAGGGGGTGTGCGTGTACATGCAGCACTTTAAATATTTTGACAGGAACTAAGATAGTGCACTTGGTGGGGGGGGAACCCTTAAGAAAAAAAGGCAGACTTTCAGTTAAATTTTCCCTAGAATAATAATGATATAAAAATATTTGATACTCCAATTTAAAACAGGCATTCAAGTGTAACTTTGTAACTAACTTACCAGGGAGCAGTTATGTTTCACATGTGAGACACCCAAGACTGTACCTTTCCTTCCCCCAAAACCTGTAGCAACTACAAATTACCATCAGCTCATAACTTGGAATGTATTATGCTCTGTCACTTAAATTACAGCAGTTTTGTTATTAAACTAGAAACCAACTTCATCATAAAAAAGTTATCATTTCATTATGTGATAGGCCAGGCCAGATAAGAGAAGGGTACACTTGTTTTGAACTCATTTTCAAATCTAGTCTGGAACTCAAGGTCACTGTAGCAGAGGCCATAATGGCTGAAATCCAACACTCATCCTCTGAAGTTTTGCAACCCAAATCTAGTTTGCAAGAACACTCCTCAGGTTCTATGGATTTAGAACAGGGATTTTGGGGGTTTTTTTGGAAGTTATACAGCTGTCTTGCTTTATTTGCTAAGTAAACCAACCATTACGCATGAGAACAGTGTATAAAAGCCAATGTTAATCTTAACACAATAAAGCTGCAGAGACATTGGCAAAGTACATGAAAAAGACAATTATATTTGAATAGCATTAAAGCATAAATAGCTCATATTTGGGAACATGGATAAACCACAGCAATTCACAGAAGCGTTTGTCCTCCAAAACAGGAAACGCTGTTCGGCACAGAGAAGCACAGTACATGAATTAGGATTTCCTTCACAGCTCCCCCTTTCCCTGCTCCTTCCACAGCCCCAACCAAGCCAGACTAGTGAAGAGATGTGTCTGAGAGTACAGAAACAGCCCTGCCTGCCGCTGCTCATCTTCATGGTCGTTTCTCAGCCGTGCGAGATCTCTCTCAAGAAACACGAGCAGCTGGAGCCCGCACCTTCCCATATTTGAGGTCTGTTTCTAAAGTCCCAAGAAGAGCGGTCACGGCGCGAGGGGAAACGCCGAGGCTCAGCCCTGACCCTCTCTGATCTCCAGTAACAACGTCTCCTTTCCCCGCAGAGCCGGCAGGCCTCGCAGAGCCGAGCTGGGCCGGGCCACGGGCACCGGCATCGCCGCGCGAGCGGGCCCCAGCTCTCCCCGGAGACAGAGGAAACCTTGCCGCTGCCTCATCCCGCCACCGGAAGGATGCCGAGGCGGGCAGGGCACAGGCCAAGCGTACCGCGTGGGGACCGGGGGCTGCCTCGGGGCCAGCGCAGGGACGGGAGACCCGGCCGCCGCCCCGAGCAGCTCCTCAGAGAAAGCAGCCCCAGCCTGGACGGCCCATCCGACGGCGCAACCCCCTCTATCCCGGCCGGCCTCCGCCAGGAGCGGAACCCCCCCAACTCCTCACTCACCCGCTCGTGGAAGATTGACTCCATGTTTATTGTCAACGGCAGCAGCCTCCGCCTCACGTGACCTCTCCAGCCAATCAAACCTTCCCTTCCTCGACGAGCCGCTGCAGCCAATCCGCGCAGTCCCCCTGCTGGGCTAGGCCGCCCGAGCGAGGCCGGCGCCAGGGCTGGCAGTCGTGGCGGCGCCCCCTGCCGGTAAGGAGGCCGCCGGGCTGATGGGCCGCCAGCTCCCGCCCCCGCCCTGCCGCCCTACGCGGTGCCGGGCGGGCGGCAAACGAAGGGGTATCGCCCGTTCGCCTCGAGTGGTCGGCGCGAATTCGAGAACGCCCCGAAGGCCCCGTTCCCTCGGAAAGGCCAGATTGCCCTGCGTCACCGAGTTTAGCAAACGCCCCGCAGTGCCAGCTCCCTGCTTGTTCTCAGCACCTTCCCCTTCTGACGCCCGGGGACGGCGCCGCAGCCCCCGCTCGCTGCCGCTCCGGGCAGACACGGCTACACAGGGAATCTGGAAACAAACTTGTTTCGATTCAATGAAAAAAAACAAACAACCGTCGACCACATACATTCCGGGTGCGTGTTAAGTATTCCTTTCAAGGCGAGTTCATAAATTAGCTAGAAATACATGAACTCCACACCATACAGTTCAGTAATTTTTGCATAGTTTTTCTTTATTATATAATTCCCCCTCCCTGCTCCAGACTGTGACTTCTGGGGACAAAAGTAAGATTGGAAATTAAACTAGCACTGATGAATTGCAGGTGTCCTTTTCTGTAGCTTTACATATTCTCTCAAGATAACAACCATAATCCTAGTCTTTCAACGTGTGAGATATGATGAGGAATCAAACGAAAATATTTTCCATTTCATCAGCAGCCTTTATTTCCATGTAACTTCTTCACCAGGCTTCAACTCTCTGTGTGGAAAGAAACAGAGGAAAGAAACTAAAATTAGGATTTTTTTTTCAGAATAATTACTAATAAATGTAATTAATTATTCTACAATACCTTAATTTTTGAGAGTTATGTATAAATTTATCTTTCCTTGCAATCGTTGTCAGTTAAAAATCTTTCGATACTGAGAAGCTTCCTCTTTTCTTTCCAAAGCTTCAAAGGCTTGAGTCCTCTTAACTCCCATTCATTTAAATGGAAGCAAACAACAGCTGATCTCTGAGGAGTTAACACGCTTTTTACATAATGGGATCCAAAAGGAAAAATTCTACTTCTTTTAAATAAAAAAAAAAAATCACTGTTTTGGTGGGAAGAGAACTAGGTGTGAAAGCAGAGGGGATTTTTGCAATATGCTGAAATACCAGCCCAACTTCACCAGCAACTGCAGTAAGGAAAGTGCTAATGTAACAGTGGGGTGGATTATGTCGTAAGCTTACTTTCTTACTCAGAACTAATTTAGGTGAGACCAGAGTAAAAAAAAAAATCTACCTGCAAACTGAAAATAACATTCCTACTATTAGTCCATGCTATGCAGCATGATATTTTTTTTGTTTCGTTAACCCTATGGTCTAATACAGAATTTGGAGAACTGACATAGATGAGGCAATACATTAAGTTATCTAAATTCTCCCTGAGAAGTCAGCCACTAAGCCCAAAGTGATCAGTGTATATAATCGCATCCCTCAGTGAAGGTACAGCAGTTGCCAGCATAGATGTTGTATTAATTTTTAAAAATTTGATTATTTTTAAATGACACAAATTTATAATTAGTTAAAACGCATTGTAATAATTTTAAAATTAAGACAGAAGCTTGCAATAATCCACTGAAAAGTTGAAAATTAAAATTCAAGCACTGTGTTTCCTGCTGAAGTTTTAGAGAGAGAGAAAATGATGGTTTCCACATGTCATGACTAAGAACTTGACAGCAGTTAATGATCCTTTCTTTAATGACTAAGATGGCTCCTAATCCCCCAATATTCAGAGGGCATTAGTGACCTATTGTATGCTTGCTGAAATTTTTAGGGCTTTCTTCCCTTTAATATTTTGACAGCATCACTGATTTTTTTTGTCATACTTAAAGACTCTCAAAAAGAACAGAGAAGCACTTTGCAAGGTAACTATATATGTGAGGCATCATAAAGCAGACCTTCTATATAGTAAGCTCTTGTTTCTGAAGGCAGACAGTTTTTCATCATTCCTTCTGTCCAAATAGCATCCAATCACAAATCCTAAGGGAACAAGGATGTGAACCCAGTGATCACGCACAGCTTGGGCGAAATTCACCATGACTGCTAGAAAGAAAAGCGTAACAGGTGAGAGTTACTGATAGATCCATACATGGAAACTGTTGCACACCTGGCACCTTTAATCTCACTTTCTAAGATCCTACAACACCATAATAAATACGAAGGCCATCAAACACCTCCTACAAGACACATGCTGTTCACAGATCCGTACACAGGGTTCTTAGAAATAATCCTAACTAACTCTTGGCCCTGGGAAATAGGATTTTATCCTAAAATGGAAGAGAAACAGAACATCTCTTTTAAGATATCCCCGGTGAAATAGTTCCTAGAGTAATTCATCCATTAAAGTAACTCTAGCAATACAGAAGTTTGCTGTTCTGTAAAACGCTACAAATGCATTTATAACCTCAACTCCTGCAGACAGACGCTTTACTATCTGCAACAAGGCTGAAAGATACTCTGCACATTCGGTGGGGAACTGACAGGTAAGGAAGAACGGACATTTCTAAAACCCAGCGAGCCCTTTCCAGCCCAACCGAAGCCTTCCAGATTAGCGTCTTGCCGCAAGCTACAAGAGACACCAAGGAAGTCATACAGCTGCGAGCTCAAAACGGCATGCTAATTACAGAGGACAGGCACCAACGGCGCCGTTCCTCTCACAGCCGCCGCGGGCCGGCGGCACACCGGACACCCGAAGCGGTGTGGGGGAGGGAGCACGGCGGGAGGCCCTGACCTCCCCCGGCCCCTCCTCCCTCCGTCGCCCGCGATGGCGGCTCGGGCCGGCGCTCACGGTACCGACCCACGGGAGGGCCCCGCCAGCCTCCCGGCTCCGCCGGGCGCGGAGAAACGCTGCCCCCAGCCTGCCTGGGAACCCGACCGCCCCCCGCACGCCCGTGGCCGCGGGGGCAAGAGCGCCATAAAGCCCCGGGGCTGAGGGGCGCTCCCACTCCCCGGCCCCGTCTCCCGGCCGAAGGGGACAGGGCGAGGCGCCCCCGGCGCAGACGGACGCCGGTACCGCGGAAACACCCTCTCGGCTGCTCCCGCCCCCCGCGCGGGCCCCAGCCGGTACCGCTCCTCGCTGCGACGGGCCCCGCGCAGCGGCCGCACCAAGGGCAACGGGCGGCGCGAGCAGGCCGGGACAGACCACCGGCTGCGCAGCGAGAGGGGGAGGAGGGCCCTCACCCCCGGCGGCCTCGCGGTGGTGCCGTCCGTTGCCCTTCCACCTTCCCTCCTCCTCCTCCTCCTCCCCCTCCCCGCCTCCCGCAAGATGGCGGAGGGTCCCGCACGGGGCGGAGGTGGCGGGCGCGGGCCCGGGCCCCGGTGGGCTTGAGGGAGGCC